TACAATATAATATTTTGAATACTAGAAAATTTTATTTAAATACGTATTAAAATTTACGGTTGTTACATCTTCTAATAACACTACAGGGTTCATTATCCCCCAATTATACTTTTCCAAAGTCCATTGCTACATAGTTATGTAGAAGCCTCCTATTAGTAGTGGCGTGGAATGAAGCTCCTGAGTCGATGACCCAAGAATCAGAATCGCTGTCCATAGCTAGGATCAAGGCATCCTGTACGATATGAGCCTCCTGCTCATTCACATCATTCTTTTGTACTTTACAAGCTGAAGACATATGATCCTCCTGACCGCAGTTCTAACACTTTCATTTGATAGGCCTAACTTTCGAGTTTGACCTCTTCTTGTTTAACTTCGATCGATTCCTGTTCTGATTTTCCTTCTTCTGGCTTCTGCCTCTTTGCTCGAAATTTAGGGCTGAACTTGAACTTTCTGATTCGGACAATTTTCTTCTAACCTCCTCGAATAGAAACATGCTAACAACCTCGCTCACTTCCCCGCCAAGTTGCTAATTACGATCACGCAACCTGCCCAACTATCTAGCAACTGGGATAGAATCAATAGAGTCTGCACTTTGCAATCAAATGTGATGTCCACGAAGATAAGTTGATCAACAATTGTGTTGAACTCACTAAGGTGTATCGTGAAGGAGCATCCTTCTGCCATCATGAGGTTGAAGAGCATCTTGACGAGATGCAACTTATTTGTGGCTAACGGTTGCTCGTACATCTTCGCGAGCATTTCCATAAGTCCCACCGTCGTATTCTCCTTCAATATATTATGGGTGACTGATTTGTCGAGCGACAATCAGATCTGCCCCTAGAGCCTTCCGATCCAATAATTTTTAGTCCTCGTCTGATTCCTCCTCCTTCTTTCCCTTAGCCTTGCCCATCAACGGACGATAAAGGTCCTTCTGGTACAGATAGTCCTCCATCTGTGACTTTTAGTAGGCAAAATCTGACCCGTCAAACTTCTCGATCTATGATTTGCTTTCCTCTGCCATGACTCTCACACAAATCTCCTGAACGAAGCTCTTATACCAGTTGTTGGGGTTTCGAAACAATCAATCGAACCCGGGCCTTTCCGGATCTTGTGCTAAGAGTTTAGCAAGTAGGAAAATCACAACAAATAAAAGAAAATTACATGAAAGATAAACAAGAAAGAACACACCATATTTAACGAGGTTCGGCAACGTGCATACGTCCTACGGAGCCACACCACACAATTCTTTGATTAATTGAAGAAGATTACAATGCTCACAAATAGGTTTTTATCTCTCTGAGATATCTCTCTCAAATAGCCGTCAAAACCCTTTTTTCGTATTCTACAAACCCTAGCATAACTCTAAAAGTTATATTAATAAAATATGTAAAACATATTTTTATGGTATTAGTTTGTAAAAATAAAGAAATTATACGTAATCATAATTATATCTTATACTAATTCTACATGAACTATCTATAGCTTAACAATTTCAAAAAAATATATATTAATAAAATATTAAAAACATCATTTTATGGTATTAGTTTGTAAAGATAAAGAAATTATACATAGCTAACGTACTATAATACATAAAATATTGCAAAAAAAATCTAAAAGTTTTAAAATTACACAAAATACCCTACAAGGTTTAAAATTATTAAAACTATCCTGACGTCTAAAAACTTAAATCAACAAACATGAAATCAAGAAATTAACAGCGAAGAATTTAAAATTTGAAGATAATATTTTATTATCTCAAAAATTATAGAAACACCATCAAAAATTTAAATTACAAACAAGCACCTAAAATTCTAAAATTTCAAGACTTACAAATAACATAGATGAATTCAAGGGATTATCATAATGCACCTAAAAATTTCTGATATTTCAAAGCTTAAAATAACAAATATGAAATTAAAAAATTAACAGCAACCTCCGAAGAATTTATAATTTTTAATTAACACCCTCAATGTCCTAAAAATTATAAAAACTCATTCAAAAGTTTAAATTATAAAAAACCCTAAAATTATAAAAATTTTAAAATTTGCAAACAACAAAAAGTGAATTCAAGAGATGACCCTCATGCACCTAGAAATTTAAAATTTACCGAAATTAATCTCAAAGTTACAAAAATTATAAAAAATTACTTTCAAAAT